ACGAAACACGGTACCGGGAAGCTCGTTACGCACGAAGGGCAGGTCTAGACTGATGCGTTATCTTGATCTCCAAGTGTATTTCCTCCCCCTCCTACTTGCTTATCACGAGTTGACCAATGTTTTGTTTGCGACTCACCTATTCTTATTGCCCATTCATAAATAATATTAGACTTGAAACCTCTTTGTTCATTTAGGACATTGTGTGGTTCTTTTTACACAGCCTTATAAATCTCGTACTCTTCCATTGTGTCCATGAAACGGCCGCTTTTACATTTATGCAGAATTTCAAGGTTGTCGTCAATTTTTGAGTAATTATGTCTATTATTAATTAAGTGATTGGCGTACGAGGATGTATGATTAGTAGTAGGTTTGCCTGGTAAATGTTCTTTGAATCTGATGTTGAATGATCTAGCTGTTTGGCCGATGTAATAACTAGGACAATCGTTACAGTTTAGTTTGTAAATACCCGTGCCCATTCATGTTATTTTCATCAGTTTTGGGAGTTGCATTTTTCTTAATGATATTGCCTAATTTATTTGACGTTTTGAAAGATATTGTACAATATCTTTCAAACAATATTGGAGATCAAGATAACGCATCAGTTTAGACCTGCCCTCCGTGCGTAACGAGCTTCCCGGTACCGTGTTTCGTAATGTTTATGTGTAATGTTCGTGTGTTCGTCCGTGTTTTATGTATATATGACCTTGATGGATTTTTACCATGACGACTTCCTATGGAATGAAATTTTGATGTCATTACAAGCCTGATGAAGTTCCCCCGGGAATGAAACTGCAGTAGCCTACATAGACTACAAAGGATCACTTTTGACAGTATAAGGTATTTAAACCATTATTTATTAATTCATATAAGCTCCCTCACTTCTCACAGAGATGTATGATGGTTTAGGTGAATCCCCCGTACTACGTGCCTCTTGTAGAGATTGTCCCAGCACCATGGACAGAACCCTGGGTGCCACAGAGGGTGCGGGAGCTGCTCACGGAGATTGGCCAAGAACCAGTCACCCTCTCTCGAGAAGTAGCTGGCTTTTCCCTCAACAGGATACAGTGAGAGAAGTCTTTTCTATTTCATCTTTGTTTTACTCTATCTATAGTAACTTTACAAAATAACCTTAAAAAATATAAAAATCATATGCAATTGGTGTAAAGCCCTTCCATGACAAGTGGGTCACTTGACCTTGGATGGGCTCAAATTTGTAAGATGAAAACATCTGTCTATATCATCAATACACTACATTAAACATTGTGAACAATAAGGCTTTTTGTTTTCAGATTTAACCCGACATATTATATACCAAAATGTTGGTCTAGGTGTATAGATTTGTAAACTGTCCTTACATTTTTGAAAAAGTCCCTTGGGCTCTGCCCCAGTGACTTTTAAAGTTCCCATGTTATCCTTTCAAAGAACATATTTTTTGTTTACATTATGATCAGCTGGATAATTTAATTGCCGTTAATATTTTAGTTGCAATTTAAGGAAACATGTGCTAGACACATTTACTGACTTTGTTAAAATGAAATATTTACTATTTGAATTTGGGTTTGCGCAAATTTTACAATGGAAAAAAACGAGAAAGCCTGGACAATTTGATACTATATTAAATTACTAGCTGAACCCGGCAGACGTTGTCTTGCCTTTGACTATTTATAATCCCGCGGGCTTTGCCCCGTTTAACTTCTTAATTTTCAAGATGATCTTGTTCGCATGGCTCAATCCCGTCCTGGTTGAAGATCGTTCGCTACGCTCACTTGCCTTCAGGTTAGCTCATTCGCTACGCTAACTTGCCTCCAGGTTAAAGTTCGTTCGCTACGCTCACTCACCTTTTGGTTGCAAATTAGCTGTTGTCATAAATGTAAAAGAAATAATAGTGCTGCACCCTGTTGGTAATCCTTGTAACTTTAATGCTATCGAACATCATAGAACAGAACCAACTTGTTTAATTGAAACAGCTGTTAAGATTCATTAATTCCATTTCTCATAAGGTTAACATGGGAAACTCCAGAGCCACTGGGGCGGAGCCGATTGGACGGATCACGAAATTGATGGCGTATAAGAATGCTTTATTGCCGTTACACTGGTTTACATGCATGGCACAGTCAAGGAAATGTCTTAGAACTAAGGTTTTAACTAAGGTTTAATTTAACATCAGTTATAAAGTCTATTTCTCTATATGGGCACAGGTTTAACAGGTAGTTTTTAAGTACTATTTTAAATTTAGAACAATTAAAACATCTAATTCTAGATCACGAAATTGATGGCGTATAAGAATGCTTTATTGCCGTTACACTGGTTTACATGCATGGCACAGTCAAGGAAATGTCTTAGAACTAAGGTTTTAACTAAGGTTTAATTTAACATCAGTTATAAAGTCTATTTCTCTATATGGGCACAGGTTTAACAGGTAGTTTTTAAGTACTATTTTAAATTTAGAACAATTAAAACATCTAATTCTATAAGGTGAATTAGATTGTAATTAGATTATAATTAGATTATAAACCTATTCCATGACATTCTACACGTATGTACCAAGTTTCGTGGCAATCGGTTCAGCGGTGTATGAGTTTACCACTGCCAAACAAACAAACAAATATATATACAAACATCCTCTTTTATACTTATAGATCTAGAAAATTACACCACTACAAATTTTACACTGCCATTTCACAAACTTTAGGTATGCAATCCTGAACGAAGTATGGAACCAAGTAACAGAAGGGTTGCTCAGTGTGGAGGATGTTGACAAAGTCATGTCTGAAGGCCTGGGCATGAGGTATGCCTTCTTGGGGGCCCTGGAGGTAGCTCATCTTAATGCTGAAGGTATGACCTACTATTAAATGGCTTAACACTTCAAAAACCTTCTACCTTTACTCAGCAACACTTTAATTTACATTACTTCCATAAATACTTTAATACTTTTAATTGAAATAGTGACCATAGGAAGGTAGGTATTTTAAGCCAAGTATGAATGGGAATGAGTGTAGGATGAGTGGCACCATCTTGTAGTCTTGTTATTGACCAAGGCCGACATGTGTTAAGATTATTGAGCTAATAGTTAACACAATGCATAATCACTGATAGACAAAAGAAATGTTTCACAACAAAACAAATTCCACCACAGCTTCGAGTCCTCTCTCTATGTACAGTAGTTGTAATGGTGTGCCAAGTGTGCAGTGTTGATTTTTCTTTTATCTGTTTTTTATTTACTTTCTTTTGGGTTTTCCTTTGAAATATAACTGCTCTAAGAATCGTTTCAAGTGATTGTTTTTCAATATGTTTTTGTGTGGCAACAAATGGCTTCTTTACTAATCTTGTTACGTTAAATATTACACAAATCACTTAATTGTTGTGCAATAGATAATTGTGTAACTAGTGGGCAAAATAAAAGTGGCACTGTACAACTCGTTTTTAGGTTAGGTTAAATCCAAACATCGAACGAAATGAGAAATGCTGCACCAGCTGATTGTAGTCGTAATATCTTGAAGTGTGCCAACTTATTTTTAAGCGTACATGGATAACGTGCATAATAAAAGCACACCATTTTGTGTTGTTTGGTTGGAATACTGGTGTGCACCAATGTAAAATCCGTGCGTCAAAGGTAAAAACAGTGTGACAATGTAAGACTTTGTTTACTATAATCTGTGCAAGGAAGCCTAATTTGTCGCGTGACTGTAGAAAATTATTTTTAACGATCCTCTAAACTACATAAACTCAATAATTTACTTTATATTCAAAATCCTTGTTTTACAGGCATAGAAAACTACTGTGAGAGATACCACAAGTCTATATACGACACAAGCATGACATTCAAGCCAGTGCCCCACATGGTTGGTCCTGCGGTAAAGGCAAGTACCTCATTCATGGAGGAAAGTTAGTTATTTATGGTTCAAAACTGACAGAACTAAGTTGATCATTGTACTTTTAACAAATGGTCCTGGTAAAATAATCACATAATCACAGGTGATTATAATCTGTTGACACGATTACTGGGAAGATAAAAGTTAGACTGTTATCTTATAGTTTAAATTCATAACATTTTCTGTAAAAAATTAGTTTAAATAGTTTTTATTTATATTTTTAGAGTAAAAATAAAATATATATTCGCTTTAATGTCACATAATGATATCTTTAATCATTTAGACTACTTATGGGCTAAAACAAAGGATTTGAAATTTTAATGATAAGGTAACATTTGAAGATTATCTCATTATAGCTTAACTTTTTTGGAAAAATGCCTGGTTCGGATACACAAAGTTCAGACTTTTAAGTCAGGTTAAAAGTAAAACAAAACCAGCTACAATAATTTTAAATTATATTTAGATTATTCTCTCCTCTAAGAATAAATCCGTTTCAAACCAAAATATCTTTTAAAGCTTTAATTGATAAAGAGCATTTAAAAATTAAATTCTAAATGGAAACAAACTTTTATGGATGTTAATCTTATACTCAAAAGGGCTTAAAAGCAATAGTTCGGCCGCTTAGAAAACGACCTGCGCGCTAATGCTAAACCAATGCTGGATGAGGTCGCTTTCTAAGCGGCCGAACTATAGTCAAATAATTAAACTTTGTGTTATTGTATTTACAAAAAAAAAATAATAATAATAATAACGCCTGTATTTAGTTTTACATGAAAAAATTAAGTGTCTTAAGCTGTTTAAATCGTAGTTTACAACAAAATGTTTATTTGTTGATAAAATATGCTATTAAACATGTGTTTACAAATTATTGTCAAAGCAAAATTTCAATTGAAGACAGTGGAAAAAACTGTTTGTGTTTTTTGTCTGTTGTAAATTTGTTTTTGCAAACACAATATGTTTATTAGAAACATAAACATTCATAGAGTCACAACTGACTTGACAAACAATTATCCAGCTGATAAAAGAAAGTTGAAAAGATCACTGTAGTTATATAAATAGACTAAAACAGATAACAATGTCTATCAAGTGACCTTGACCTTGTTTGAGACTTCAGACTGCCCTGAAACTCCAGTTAGTTCCTGCTGGATTGTGGACTACTTTATCTGGTATAGAGTCTAGAACCACTACTGTTACAGTGTTTATTTAAATAGCAACTGGTGAGTGTGTGCATCAGTTTTGTAATTTTGCAAAGCATCTAGTAGGTATGTTTATAATATGAGACCTTGCAATAGAAAATTACAGGACATAAAATTAATTTCAAGTTTGAATGATACTAATTTATTGACAATGGTAATTCAGTCATAAAAACCGTTCTTTATCTAAAGACAAACACTTATACCAACTGTTTATCAGTCTTTTACCTCAAGTGCAGTCTCTCTCTTTTGCAGCTTATTTAATCTTTATTTTAAGTTTCAAAATGTCATTCATGCAGTGTTTTAAGGACAATATTTTGCCACAAATGATACAATCTGGTGTTTTTGGTGTGGATCCTACTGTCTCAAGTGTGAAAGATTGTTCAGAAGATAGAGAAGAGTTTATGTCAAATGTGAAGTTTGTAGATGTAGAACTGAAAGTTGGACAGGCTTCAGAAAAAATTCCTTTGTTTTGCAAGTTTGAAGACAACGATACTAAAGAGGTGAAAAGGGAAAAATTCCAAACCGACTTGCAATTTTCCAATGAAGTCTTTGTGTATAAAGAATTCATACCGTTGTTTCCAAAATCAGTTACAAACATTTTCCCCAAATTTTATTTTGGTGCTGCGACTCCAGGAATATCTTCAGATCCGGGGTTTATTGTTTTTGAAAATCTACATCCAAAAGGTTTTGAAGAAACTCATGAAAAGGTGTTTTTAGATTATGACCATTGTTCTCTTGCTTTCTCAAAACTTGGTGAATTCCATGGATCAAGTATTCAAATGAAAGCTAAGAACCCGTTGGAATTTGGGATCAAGATCAATCAGCTAAGAGAAACAAGATGGCTGAACAAACACAAAGAGCTACAAATCTACTTTTACAAACATACCACTAAGAGAGGGGTGGTCCCGTTGTTGAAAAAAGGTGAACATGTTGATTTGCTGAACAGCTCGTTGGACCACTTGAGCAATGTACACGATGTCATCAAAGAAATCCTAGAAGTAAACAAACATAGTGTTTTGTGCCATGGTGACTTTTGTCGGAACAATATGGTATTTAAATACGAAACCTCTGGACACAAACCTGTTGATGTAAAATTCTATGATTTGGGCACAGCGAGATATGCCTCACCCATCATCGACATATCGTTCTTTTTATTCCTCAACACGACTGCTGATCTCCGCAGAAGATACTTTAAGAGTGATTTTCTTCAAACGTATCTTGACTCGGTGAGAAAGTACGCGGGTACTGAAGCTCCTACTATGGAACAGTTGTGGGAGGAGTTCCAGAAAAAAGCTGTTTATGGTTATTTACTGGCCTCATTCTTCCTTCCGATCATGTGGCACGGACACCATGATCCACCGACTGATGACCTTGAAGAGATGACAAAACAAAACTTGCGTAAAGGAGGAGAAGAAGTAACCGAAATGTTGTCTGATATTGTGAAAGATCTGATCACTTGGGGATGTTTGGAGGGATTTAAAAGCTCATGATATGTAAGTGATATTATGGATACTAAAATTGTTTCTATGTAGCCCAGTCAATAAAGGTTTTGTGTCGAAACAAATTAGCGACAGGCAAAACAATATACCAATCGTTAGTACCCAACGAGATATACATTTTCCCAAAAGTCCCGAAAAATCCCCCCGGTGCTTTCCCCCCCACCCCCCCTCAAAGTCAAAATTGCATGGTTTTACTAAAACACGTCTTGTTTACATACGATTTGTCTAATTCGGTTAAATAATAGCTTGTTGTCTTTCAAATTAAATTTCCTACAAAAAATATCATATACACGATTACCGTAAATCTAACAGTTTTTCCGTAATTTAGTGTAATTGGTGAAATTACGAAAATATTGACACTGTTATTTTGGATTTTCTACTGTATTTTGTTTATTTGCGAGAAATTCAAAAAATAGTTTGTATATTGGTTGTAGAGCGTTTTCTAACGAACACATACATATATATAAGTCCAGGATTCTGATGTAAATGTGGGCGGTAGTGTAGCCTAAATAGACGATGGTCGGAGCGCTCGGCGGGCGACCCTGCAGAGCCGCGCCAACGCGACCGTCGAGTATTTATATACTGTATAAATAAATATGGGCAAATGTGATTGCATGTTTGAGTTGATAGATTAATTAATTTATATAATTTGGGACGCTATATTATCTTAATTTGCAATTCTTGCAATAAAATGCGACCCCTTACTGTTCATTCAATAAACTTAATACGGTACTATAATTTTATTTTTAAGAAAACTATATCGTTGAAAACGAAATCAAGGCTGCCAGTTTTAGTTCAGGAGAGTTTCACTCCAAACCCTTGACATGGTATTACATTATCCACCACCTATGGACCTGCCGTGTCCCGGTCTGAAATTCTTAATTTTTATCTCATATTGACGAAATTTATAGCATCACAAACGACCTCCTTGCCATTTATGAAACTTAAATACTAGACTGAGTTTAGTTTGTTAGGCACATTTTCCTGAGAAGGATGCTATCAGTTCGTTTTATTGATACACAGAATCTCCAACAACCAAACAAAAAGAACAACTGACAAGAGTTACACAGAAAACTTATAATCAGAAATCATAATTATTACTAATTCAACGAGACGTGCTACTGCAAAAGAAAACTTTTTGGGCAATAAAAAGAATAAAAGAAGAATGCTGCAAGCCGTATCGTTGGAGATGAAACAGATGGGTGTTACCACATAGTCATTTACTGCTGAAGAGGATGCCAGCTATATTGTCAACATCACTTTAAGAAAATCAAATCAAAACTACAAAGTTATTGTTGTTGGTACGAACACTGACCTTCAAGTCGCGTTAGTAGCTTTGGCTTCACCAGGGAAAGACATATATCTTTTTAAACCTATTTGGCCTAGTAGTGCTATAGTGTAATGTTTGAAAGCTAGTAAGTGATTGATTATTTGTGGATATAAGAGATGGATTATTATTTGTACATGTGATAACTGGGTGTGACACCATTTCATCTTTCTACGGCTTAGGAAAATTGAAAGGAATGGACGTGTTAAGGTCTTTACAGCTGCTGAGAGTCAGGCAGTAGTTTTCAATGACAAAATGTGTCTGATAAGCGGTTGTTGACTAATGGAAAGACATTTGTGTTAGGAATCTATGGGCTGGATAGGTACGCTAATTTAAATTAGGCTATTTATTTTAAATTCACTATAATGACAAAGAAAGCCTCTTAGAGATCCAATTTTGATCTGGCTATACTGCCTCCCACCAGTGAAGCATGTACTAAGAGTGTACCTACAAGTAAAAAGGTGGATTGGTAACAAGCTCTTGCCGACTAAATGGGGCTGGAAATAGAATCCATCAAAGAAAACGAAGGAGAAACTAAATCTCTAAGATTATTTCAATGTAAACCAATTGCGCCAAACAAATGGTTAACGTTAATTTCCTGATAATGTAAGCAAACATGCGGAAACTATTGCGGGTGTTGTAAGTTGGGCACTGTATGGTCTAAGGTAATTTTTGGCGTATTTGCAATCACGCCCTCTGACTCCCTACTCTTCAACTGAGCAGGGTCTGTCCTCTCACTTCTTGTTTTTCTTATTCTTCCCAAGTTTGGACCAACAGTCTTCTGCTCTCTTCTTCTCCCAACTTCTGTCCCTCCTTTTCCTTCTTCTGTTATAAGAGACCCCACGTGTTAGGTGGACCGTGCTGTGCTGAGGGGTGGATAGCACCAGGCCTCTTTAGAATGGTGTCTGAATGGTACCTTCACGAAACCATGCACCCTCCTGAAGTAATCAGCCTTACCTGGACATGCAGGGCTCTGTCCTGGTCAACTTCATATTCCTAGCGAGAAGCTCGAACGTGGGGTAGTACCGCAAGTCATGGAAAGGGAAGTAAAATGCCCCGACCTTTGAAGAACTACCCAAAACGAGCAGATCCTGGTGAAAAGGGCGATCCTCGTAGAGTAGGGCAGAGCATGAACCCGCTGGTACCTACGCTTCTTAGAACAGGGCATGGATCCTGAAGAAGCCAGGAAAAAAGAGGAGGAAAGGAAGGCATCAGCAGCTCAGGACAAACCGGCGCTTAGAAAGGAGAAAAAGGGCACACAAGAAAGTACCCCACCCCTGAATAAGAACTCTTTGAGAATGTTGACAGGTTTTCTGGACATTGTCGGCACAGAGGTCATCTGGGAGAAAAAAAGAACATTGTTCAGGAAAGTGACTGCCGATTCTGTCAATCAAGGGAAGAAACGCACAAACATACAGGGTGGCTGAAAAGTAACTTGCACCCCCCTTAACTTTTTAACTATTTGAGATATTTGAAATCGGTTTGCTGGAACTTGTTTGGATATAAAGGGCTACAATAATTATGGTCAGTTTTGAAAATTTTGCTCTTTTTTGGGGTAGTGGGGGTAGGGGGTAGCTCAAAATTTTTAAAAATAGCAAGTATAGTCTGGGGTAGCTCAAAATTTTTAAATAGCAAGTATAGTCGAGTTTGGTATCATTTTACAGGTCTCTACGAGACATAACAATTAACACAAAGAAAATAGAAATCGGACCAATAATAACGAAATGGCAGCTAAAAATGATGAAGACAATGGTTATTAAAAGTAATTTTGTTCCCCCACTATCCCTCCTTTTTAAAATTGACCATAATTATTGTAGCCCCTTATAGCTAAGAAGGTTGCCACAAACAAATTTCAAATATCTCAAATGGTTGAAAAGTTAAGGGGGCGTGCAAGTTACTTTTCAGCCACTCTGTATATTGGCTGAATGTGATGCAGTTCGACGAAAGAGAGCCAAGAGCTTGGGAATGCACCAAGTAGCAGTTAGAGATTTTCCGCAGTTAGAATTCGACCTGACGCTGAACTTCATTAAGGAGTTAGGATTGGGGATGGTTCTCTAGGCTAAGACTGGAGACTAGTTTGGGGGACACAATAGATCTTACAGGTCGCACTGTAATCTTCCCCCCAGGTATCTTAAGTACCATTATCAGTAGTGGTCTAATTTGCCATAACGCGTCTACAACCATTGAAGAGGACCAAAACGAAGATGAGTAAAGATAAAGGGTGGGATAAGGGTGGGAGAGGGTGGGACTCTTAAAGGGTGGGAGGGTGGTACTTGATGCTATAAATTTTGTTAATATCAGATAATTTAATAATTAACAATTTATTCAAAACTGCCAGTTTTGCCAGACCAGGACACGGCGGGTCCATAGGTTTTGGATATTGTAATACCATGTCAAGGGTTAGGAGTTCTTATTTTGTTTTGAACGATATAGTTTTCTTAAAAATAAAATTATGGTACCTTATTAAGTTTATTGAATGAACAGTAAGGGGTCGCATTTGATTGCAAGAATTGCAAATGAGGATAATATAGCGTCCCAAATTATATAAATTAATTAATCTATCTACTCAAACATGCAATCACATTTTCCCATATTTATTTATACAGTATATAAATACTCGACGGTCGCGTTGGGGCGGCTCTGCAGGGTCGCCCGCCGAGCGCTCCGACCATCGTCTATTTAGGCTACACTACCACCCACATTTACATCAGAATCCTGGACTTATATATATGTATGTGTTCGTTAGAAAACGCTCTACAACCAATATACAAACTATTTTTTGAATTTCTCGCAAATAAACAAAATACAGTAGAAAATCCAAAATAACAGTGTCAATATTTTTGCAATTTCACCAATTACACTAAATTACGGAAAAACTGTTAGATTTACGGTAATCGTGTATATGATATTTTTTGTAGGAAATTTAATTTTAAAGACAATAAGCTATTATTTAACCGAATTAGACAACTCGTACGTAAACTAGACGTGTTTTAGTAAAACCATGCAATTTTGACTCTGAGGGGGGGGGGTGGGGGGGAAAGCACCGGGGGGATTTTTTGGGACTTTTGGGAAAATGTATATCTCGTTGGGTAATAACGATTAGTATATAGTTTTGCCTGTCGCTAATTTGTTTCGACATCGGCTATATATTTGTCTTTATTGACTGGGCTAATGGTAGAACTTGACAAATCACAGTTTTTCAGAGTTTATGTTGATGACCAGTAATAAATTTTAGGCCAAAATTATGCTTTAATTTGGCTGAGATATACTATTTTAACGTCTGTATGGATTTATAATGTTTAAGTATAATCTTTTGCTCACAACAATAAATTTAATTACTTCTTTATACTTGCTGAATGTAAATAAATGAAGATTGTATCAAACCAGATAAATAAATGCCTTTTAACCAGACATCGGTTTAACCAGACTACATTTAGCGGAAATTACATCTCTTTAACCGGACATTTTTTATCTGCACATCGGTTTACCCGGACTAGATCGGCAGTAATTGGGCGGTATGTTAAGCCTGGTTTACACGGGTCGAGTATGTCAGACGAGTTATTCGGCCCAGTTACTAGGCCCAGTTGTTGATTTGTTCAACTTGTCCGGTACTTGACTGGACTGTCTACAGGCATTCCAATTTCAAACAGGGACAGTGTAGGCACAGAGAAGTAATTTTTATTATTTCTCTATGGTGTAGGGTATTCTGTATACCGTAGCTTTCGTGTTAGTTGTTGTTTGAGTTTAAAATGGCCCTTCAAGAGTTTAATACTGAATCCATACAGTAACTTAATTAAATCACTGATTTAGATTATAAGATATAAAACTGAATCACCACTTAAATTCAGAGGTTGCTTAAAAGCTTTTTTGCAAATAACTTTTAAACGGAAGGAAATAGACCAAAGTGAAAGGTGATTTTCTGAAAGAGAATAAGATTTGTTACAAATTACCTACTATACTGCACCTATTTAAAATAATATGTAAAGGCAGCCAAAAGTTGCCTCCAAATAAAAAAATTTAAATCACTGTTTTCAATGTATTTCTGATAGAACACATTTTTAGAGATTGAGCTTTCTAACGACCCATTGATAAATAAAATCGGTCCAGTAGAACTGTAGATGTTAAGTTGTACAACAATTTTGAAAACTGAATTCTATAAGAGTAGACTTACGAGACAATTCAACACAGTACTGTTCAACTTGTACTTGTACAAAATCACTTGTACTGTTAAAATAAACCATTGAGCATTGAGGGTAGGTTGATGAGTAGGCCTACACTACTCGCTGAACTAACCTCAATACTGATCGTTGTGTGTGATGGACTCACTCAGCGACCACAAAAAATCAAAATAAAATTAATTCTGTGGTCGCTGGACTCACTTGATATCAGTAAACAGATGTTTCGCGGGCAAATTGTGGTGGTGGGGGTAGCTACTGGGCCGAGCAACTCGGTTTTCAACTAAATCACTCGACTCGCTCTCAACTGTCCTATTTTTATCAACTCGCCCGTTGCTCGACTCGCCTACATGTCTACACCATGCGAGTTAAAGAGCGAGTGGCAACTGGCACACTGACTCGCCCGCCGTACTCGACCCGTGTAAACCAGGCTTTAACGACTGTTCTTGTGGGAAAGATTTGAGACCAGTGATCACGTGTCTAAATACAATGAATCTTAAGTCAAATACTGTATAGTGTATACAGTATGCATTTTAACAGTCTGCTTTAAGGAGTTTTTGGGGAAGTTGGTTTGTCGGAAAACCCGTTATCTGGACTGGCCTCGGTCCCGCCCGAGGAGTACGGATAAGAGGGAGTCTACTGTACCTTTTTATTGTTATCTCGCAAATAATGTCATAGGGACCAATTAACCCATAAGGCCCCTGTTAAATTTCTAAAAGTTGAAAGTCACGTAGGGAAAAACCCTGTGGTCTGATTTGTACCATTTCAGATTTATACCTTCCCATTTATACCTTTCCCATGGAAATTTATACCTTCAGATTGTATACTATGGTTGTGCTAAATTTCGTGCAGATCGCTTCTGCCGTTCAGGAGGGGTATTTGTAAAACAAAAGCAGGAGTGTAGTAGAAGAGCTTTGCTTTTGAGCATGGACCTTGTCTTTGAGGATGGACCTTATACAAACGGCCCGCTAGGAGTCCGAAGGAAATCATAAATGCATGCGTCCTTTAATAAGCAAACTCCCCAGTTAGACTCTTACGCAACCAACCTGTGACAGTTTTTGTGTTATCATGATTGCTATCCTCTGAGATGGTGATGTCAATATTGATAACTATAGTTGAAATTTGCAGGACATCACTAAACAGATGACCTCTATCTGCCCCTTGGACCAGTTAGCCCGCAGACGAGCTTGGCGGGACATGTGCCTCACCCGTCTATCTCAGCTCAAACAGGAACTGAAGAAGGAAAAGTAATTTGTAATGTTTTTTATTTAATATTTGTTCTATGACTAATAAAACATCCACAAACGCAAAATATACTGAATTATTTTCCTATTGTAGAATTTTATTTGGTTGTGCGAGGAGTGTCTGTAAGTTAAGTACTCCATGGATCTTCTGTCATATTTGTGTAGTTAAAATCTGAGACCATCGTCATGTTCATTTATGTATACAGTAAAGCCAAGCTAATTCCATTCAGATTCAGAAACACTTTATTCAAGATTTACAGTATACAAATATAAATGCAGAATGGCGTCATTTTCCAACCATTTTCCTGGTTGGATTTTCATTAAAATATTCCCTGAAAATTGTCAGATTAGTTTCCTATTTCAATAATCAATTAAATTTTAATGAGTAGGTTTTCTGCTACATGAGAGGTAGTATAGTGTGTTTTTTATAGCTTACATTTTTATAGCTTAGTAAGACACATTTTATCAAAATATGTCCCTAAACAAGCAAACTTCAATAATTTATCACCTATTCTCCCTAAGAATGACATAGGAATTTTAAATTTAAAGATTTTAGAATTTTTTTTTAACCATTTGGCATACAAAGGTTTATTGCGAACTGTGCGATTAGTGTCCCATTCTATTGTGTGAGCTGATTACTATTGAAAGAAACTAACTTGCTCAATGACTATTTAGAATCACATGGTTTATAATTAATGAAATCATGTGTATGCTTGTTTTATCTTGAAAACAATATGTTTCTGTAAACACAGTTAATAAAAAGGTTTAACAACTATTAATCAATTATATTTTCTTTCTTTATTTAAAAGGTCATGGTGCCCAGGTACGTTTTATTTTGTGTACCTATACTCTGAAAATTAATCTAAAATGGATGTGAAAGTACAAATATCAAAGCTTGATGGGTCTCAGTCCTGGCGTAGGTGGAAGAGGCAAATGGATTTGATGTTGAAGCATCATGTCACGTGTGTCATGTGTGTTGCCTAGACATTGCAAAGGGCCAAAGAAATTTGCCTAGAATCACTGTAGACGATGTGACTGGTCTAAGCCCTGAGGAAAAATCAAGAAAAGAACAGGCACACAATGAGGCAGTAAGAGCATATGAGAAAGATGATTCTCTAGCCCAGGTCCTAATGGTAAGTGCTGTAGATGATGCTCATGTTGAATTGACAGCAACTTGTGACTCAGCAAATGAAATTTGGCAAAAATTGTTAAGTATGTATGAACAGTCCTCAAGTCAAAGGTTAGATAGGACTTTGGAAAATTTCTTTTCTGCTAAAGTAACCAAGGATGAGGAATTAGTTCAATACATATCTCGTTTGCAATTAATGTTCAGGGAAATAAATGAGGAGTTGCAAAAGCATAATGCCAATGTATTGCCTGATATTGTACTAATGTCCAGAATAATGAGTACATTGCCAAGTGACTTCTTTGAATTTAAAAACGTGTGGGAAAGCATTCCTGTTGCTGATAGAAGTATAGAACTTTTGACTGAAAGGTTCAGACTTATTGAGTCAAGGTTACCTTCTAAAAATTCAACAAGTGGAGGGCATGCATTACAAATAAATAAGAAACCATCATCAACTTGTGTTAAGGAAGTAAAGGCAGGTAAAATCTATGCCAGCAGTTCCAAGGTTAAGTGTTTTATTTGTAAAGGGCCGCATTACGCTAGCAAGTGTCCTCAGAATCAGAATTCAAGGAAGCAAGAAACTTAGAAAAGAGGTGGGGATTCTTCTAATGGGAACAAGAAGAAATCTAGTCAATTTTTATGCTTTGTAGCTGACGGACTTTGTAGTGTGATGGTACGGTACATTTATAGCTGACTCTGGTGCTTCACAACAGTGTTTCAAGAGGGAATATTTTGATACTTACCACGGTTATTCTAAGCCTGTTTCAGTTACAGTAGCTAATGGAGAAGCTATCTATGCTGAAGGAGAAGGTGACATTCGATTTGTTGTAAATATTGGTAAGATTAAAATTCTCCGGATATTGCAAGGAGTATGGTCACAGAAAACGTACTACTATAACCGAGAATGCCAACCGCATGGTAAAAAGCATTAAGCGTTTTGAGAGAGCTTTGCCTGTCAATCCGTAGGCAGCGCCACCAGCGTTGCTATGCTATTGCATGGCAACGCTGGTGGCGCTGCCTACGGATTGACAGGCAAAGCTCTCTCAAAACGCTTAATGCTTTTTACCATGCGGTTGGCATTCTGGGTTATAGTAGTACGTTTTCTGTGGTATGGTATATTCCAAAACTAGGCAGAAATCTTCTTTCGGTCTCCAAGTTAGTTGAAAAGGACTACAGTATACGTTCAAAGCTTATAAAAATAAGTGTGTTTTTATAAAGGACAATAATCCACATTTATTTGGACACAATGTCAATGGCTTATTTGAACTTGAAATGTCAGTATTACAGAGTAAGTCTTCTGTACAGCTTGTGAGTAGTAAAAATAAAACTCTACAAGAATGGCATGAGTACTCATGACTTTTTCTGTGAGGGATGTGTGCAAGGGAAACATCACAGAGAAACTTATCACAAAAGAACAGTAAAACCTGAAAGTCCAGGTGAGATTATAAGTGGTGACTTATGTGGACCAATGGAAAATATTTCTCTTGGTGGTAGTCGTTATTGTCTAGTGTTGAAGGACTAGGCTATTACACTAAATTTCGACAAGTTTTCTTTTTGAAGGAGAAAAGTGAAGTTTGTGTTTGTCTACAGACATTTCTAAATGAGAGTCAGACAGCAGGTCATGTTGTTAAATCGTTCATGAATGATGGTGGAACGGAATTCTGTAATGCCAAAGTTAAGAAAATACTCTCTGATCGTGGTATCACTATGAGAACGAGCATGCCTTACACACCTGAACAAATGGGGTCCGTTGAAAGAGAAATGCGAACCTTAGTAGAAGCAGCACGTAGCATGTTGTATGCTAAGAAATTACCCTTGAGTTTTTGGGCTGAGGCCATGAACACTGCCTGTCATGTTATCAACCGCACTGGACCGTCTGTTGATAGTAAAACTCCTTACGAGTTGTGGTTTCAAAAGGGTCCTGCGCCCGTTGAACATTTTCGCCCTTTTGGTGCTGAGTGCTATGTCCATGTACCAAAACCGAAGAGGAAGAAATGGTTCAGCTAAATCGGTTTCTGGCATATTAGTTGGATATTGTGACGAACAAGATGGCTATAGAGTCTATGTTGCGCCAAAGATTGTGGCAAGCAAAGACGTTATTTTCAAGGAAATTTCCAAGGAAATTATGAAAAAAGAGTCATTCTTGAATGATAGGCTATGTCTCCTCGACGGATCGAAGGAAACAAAGAAAATAAAAATGCTGGTGAGTCTTCTCAATGGAATGAGGGAATTCAAGACAATGAAGTTGAAATGTGCATTACATTTCCACGAAAAATCAGTGACAATGGAAATGTGGGGATTGAAAATGATGCAGTGTGTGCTGAAAATGATGTAGTGTCTGCTGAAAATGATGTAATGTCAGTTGAAAATGATGTAGTAAGAGTCATAAATGAAGATGACAGTCGACCTCAACGTCAGCGACGTACACCATCATACCTTCAACTTCAAGACTATGTTTTACTTGCTGAAGCAGGTCCCTCCTACGACGAAGCAGTAAACAGTCCTGATTGGTGGCACTGGCAAGCTGCAATGAATGATGAAATGGCATCAATAAATGAAAATGAAGTGTTTGAGCTAGTTCCACGTCCAAATAATAAGAGAATTATAGGTCTAAAGTGGGCTCTAACAGGAAAACAAAATCCAGAACGCTTTAAGGGAAGGTTGGTAGCAAAAGGATATGCTCAAAAGTATGGAGAGGATAATAATGAGACATTTTGTCCTGTAGCCCAAAGCGATACCATTTGATGTCTTTTGAATGTAGCTGTTCAAGAAGATCTTTACTTAAAACAGTTTGATGTAAAAACTGCATTTTTGTATTCTACGTTAGATGAGGACATCTATACCTGGAAACCTGAAGGTTATGATGACAAAAGTGGAAGAGTTTGGAAACTGAAACGCAGTTTATATGGTCTGAAACAAAGTCCAAGGTGTTGGAGTAAGTGTCTAATGCAAAGTATGCTTAAGAAGGGTTTTAGCCAAAGTACTGCAGATCCATGTTTGTTTATTCGCAACAAGAACGGTTCAAAATTGTATGTAGTAATATTTGTGGATGATGGTCTGATTGCTGGTTCAAATCAACAAGAGATGTCTGATTTTATTGCACAATTGGAACAAGACTTCAAGTTAAAAGTTACTGGTCCTGAAACCTACCTTGGTATGGAGATTCATAGAGCAGAGGGCAGGATTTCTTTGAGTCAGAAGTCTTACATCAAGAGTGTACTTGAAAGGTACAGGATGTCAGAATGCAATCCAGTTGGTACGCCTTTATGCACGAAGTATGAAGATACATTGGAGGAAAACAAGCCTTTGAGTAAAGGAGTTCCCTTCCGAGAAGCTGTGGGCAGTCTGATGTACATAACAAATACAAGACCAGACATAAGTAGTGCAGTGAATATAGTAGCACAAAAGCTGAACAATCCTACTATGCAAGCATGGAGTGATGTCAAGAGAATATTCCGGTATTTGAAGGGGACATTGGATTATTCCATTGACTTGAAATGAAATGAAAAAGTGCTTTATTGACACAAAAATAAACTGCATAAATACATATGTACTTATAACTAAACATAATCTTCTGCATAACGACAACAAAATTACTAAAAACAGCACATTACAGCAATGGTCATAAGACCGTCTGCCGGGTTGACAACATTTTATTTTATACAACTAAAAATGTGAACTATTTTTAATATGCTATAATATTTATATTGTTTTGCTGCTAGACATTGAATTCTAAAACCAAATCCCACCTATACTTCCAAGCCTCTTTAAGAAAATTTGCCAGCGAACGCCAATCCTTACCATTAAGAAAATCTATAAACTCTGAGCGAGTTAAAACAGGTTTCAATAGCCATTTATTTCTTATTTGGGTTAAAATTGGACAACGAGCAACAAAATGATAAGTGTCCTCATTCTCATTTAGATTACATAAAGAGCATATAAAATTAGCGTCTGTCATCCAAGGTTTAAAATTTAAGGAAATAGTCTCTGTCCTTACTTTGAATACCCATCGTCTAACAATATCAGGAACGTTATCTGATAGATATCCATTATCTCCAAGGTCAAGATTCAGTGAAGCATAAGTTGTGTGGTATCGTGAGGCCAATGCCGCCTGGATTAACCCCCGCCTGCTCTCCCCCCTTACTGCCTCTACTACTGATAACAGGTGTCACTGGGTATCCTCAATGGAATTCACATCAAAGGATAGTTCAATTCCATGTTTACTTCCAAGACCCTTCCAATCTCTGCTCCAATAAATATTTTTGCTGATTACTTTCTTTGCTAATTTATTTGGTAGACGGTTCGGCGGCAGTGACAGAGCATGTATGATGTAACGAGCATGCATGCTGAGTGTTTAAATGTACTCTTTTTCTAGTCCAGTTTCAAGATACAACGCATAGTTCGGAGTATTTTTTGCCAATCCCAAAATTTTCTTTACAAAATAACAAAGAGTCCCATCTACATAATCACTTTCCCATAAACCCCATATTTGACATCCATAACAAAGAGTTGCTCTGACAATTGAAAAATAAATAGTGAATTTTTTACTTAAAGGTACATTTTTGTTATTTAGAAATGTATTCCAAATACTGTTAATAGCTAATTTTGAAAAGCTGCACTTGTGTTTTAAATGCAAACCCCAGGATAGTTTAGAATTTAAGTTTATTCCCAAATATTTATAATCATTAACTACATCGATATTTTTACCTCGAAAATACCATTTGTCATTTTTCCTCCTTTCCTAAAAACCATAATCTTTGACTTACTTAAATTCACAGTCAAGTTCCATTGTTGACAATATCTCTCAAGGTCATTTATCATTAACTGCAGACTGGTTCCCGTCGGAGCCATCAACACAATGTCGTCAGCATATAACAAAGCCTTAATTTTAACATCTCCAAAAATGCAGCCTCCACTTAATGAATCTATAATGTCATTTACAGATTAGTTAAAACATAAAGGACTCAAAATATCTCCTTGTTTTAGACCGAGGCCTGTTTCAAAGTAGTCTGTTATTCCATCTTTACACCAGACAGCTGACGAAGTACCATTATATAAATCCATTAAAACGCGTAACATATGCGTAGAAATACCAAGACATGATAACTTATAAAACAAAGCATTTCTATCTATTGTATCGAAAGCTGCAGTAAAATCTACAAAAAAAGTATATAATTTACCCTTTTTTTTACTGAGACACAATTTTGCAGCATTTGAAAGAATAAAAACATTATCAATTGTCGAATAGCCACTCCTGAAACCGGCTTGATATTCACACAGCTTATCATGATCTGTTATCCAAAGATTTAATCTGTTGTGCAGTAAGCTTGTGTATAACTTAGCTACGCAATCTATAAATGATAAACCCCTATAATTTTGTGCAATGTTTTTATCACCTTTCTTAAACAGAGGATAGATAATTGATTGTTTAAAACTTTTCGGTACTTTAGTAGTTTTGAAAATATTGTTATAAAAATTCAGCAGCTTAACTAAAAATGACTCTGAACCGTTTTTAAAGAACACGTAGGGTATTCCGTCAGCTCCTGGTGCCTTACCATTCTTTACTTTCAATAAAACTGTTTTTAATTCGTTCAAATTAGATTCTTTATCTAGAAAGTCGTCTAGAGTAAGAGGAAGCGCATAACAGACATTGGCTGACAGCAGGGGCGGGTTCAAGAGACTCTTAAAGTGTTCTAACCATTCGTTTGGGCTGACTTGACCACCTGTATTAGGACTTTGAATCTTAAAACTATTTATAAGTTTCCATAAACATTTACTTTCTTTAGCCTGAGTCAAAGATAAATATATATTGTCAAAGTAAGCAGTTTTTTTTGCTTTAAGTAAATTTTTAAATGATCTATTGGCCTCAATATATTCATTTTTTATCTCAATTTCATCGCTTTTTCTGTACTTTCTCAATAGTTTAAACACATTGTGCCTAGCTTTAGCGCACTGTAAGTCAAACCATGGCTGTTTCCTTGCAAACTTGAAAGAGTTATTTGTATTTGACTTTACTTGTTTGACATGAGCTGACTCTGTAATGCATTGAATGAGACTCTTAACATTTCTTTCCTCGTCTATGTCCAATTGCAAATTTAAAGCAGCAGTGTGTATTCTTTCCTTAAAATTAAAATCATCAAAATTGGTCCACTTTAATCTTGGAAGTAAAGATAAAACTTGTCCCTCGACCCTGGAATCTAATTCTTTCCTTATCTTAAGAGTTAAAGTGATCTGACCCAATGTACTCTATAATCTTAAAATCACTAACTATTTGTAAACAATGAATTGAAACAAGTGCTAAATCTATCACTGACGCTCCCAATTTATTTATGAAAGTAAATTCACCCTTAGAATCACACTTTGTTCTCCCATTCAATACAAGTAATCCAAAATCATCACACATTTCTAAAATTTTTTTCCCATTTACATTTAAAACTGTATCTTTTGACTTTCGATCATAATTTAAGCATGCATTGGTCAGTATATTAGTACCTTCAGTAATGTTTTGCTCACTAGAAATTCGACTGTTTAGATCTCCAATTACGATTAAATTTTTACCATTGTTACCATGGATTATTTCATACAAATTTTCAAAATCATTTTCCCAAGTGCTATAATTCAAATAAATTGGCAAAATAATAAATTCTCTATTATAGTTTTCTTCCAGTAACTTAAAAGCAGTCATATTTCTAAAATGTTCAAACTTAATATTATTGAAGAATTTTGACTGTTTATTTATTCCTAAAACTTTACCACCTGACTGTCTACCTAGTGTTGCATTTCTTACTGCAAATTTAAAATCTATCTTAAAGTTAACTAGTCTTTTAAAAACTAAATCATGTTGCTCGTGATTAATAAATGTTTCTTGTAAAAAAATTAAATCATACTCATTGACAAAATCTATAAATAAATTATCCTCTAGCTTATTTTTAAGTCCACAAACATTGTATGCTAATATACTAAGTTCCTTGTTCGCTCTGAAAGTAGTGACACTTACAGGATCGGCGTCCACTCCCTAGACCTTGGCACCTGGAGATGAAGCCATGGACTCCACCGGCGATGCTGTCGGTGTCGGTTTGGTCGTACCCGCCGCCGTCGTCACGTGCTGCTGCTCCCTCGCCACTTTCATCGCCTCCGCGTACGTTGTTCTCACATCTGGGTTGCGGTCTGTCCTCTTCCCAGGGCCCTTCTCAGCGAGATTCTTAAGAAAATCCGTGAAGTCCTTGCCGAGGATGTGTAGTAGCTTCTGGCCTCCGTCTTCTCTCCCAGCCATCAATTTATTCTCCTCCCAGGTGAAGCGAGTGTTCTCCACCTTCAGATGGTCGTGGACGATCGGCATTCTGAGCTTCCCAGAGACTTTCTCAATTTCCGTACGGACTTCGGCTAGATAGGCGCGTTTCGTTCTAACCTCCCGAGTCAAATCTCGATGGACCACGTACCTGGTGCCTTTAAGGTCCCTCACATGAGCCATTATGTATTCAAGGTCATAGTCATCCGGAATATGCGCTATAATGGCTTTACCGTCCCTCCCCAAGGGGTGTGCGGGATTGATCCATAACTTAGACTTATCAGTTCCAAAATGCTCCGAACAGAAGTCCCTTATTATTTGACAAAAATCCGGTGTACCACTCCACTTTAGTCCTCTAAACACGAGATTATTTCGCCGCGAACGACTCTCTAGGTCATTTATTCTAGCAATCAACCTCGAGTTCTGGGTCTTTAATGAGTCTATGTCTTCATTTATTTTATCACATCCCTTACTAAGGTTACTAACCTCCATCGATAAGGTGACTAAATCCTGCTTGGAAGCTAGATTAGCGAGTTTTTGGTCTAGTAGTCTACTTATGTTATCATTTAGTCCCTCTAACAATTGACCCATAGTCAAACTGCTTACCGCTACACTATCCATATCGCACGTCAATCTAACACGCCTGTCAGGGTTTGTGTTCGATTCCAACTCTGGTGAACTAGAGTATCTATGTCGTTTAAATCTACGAGGAGTAAAATAATCACTGATTTTGCGGTCGGAAATATAACCTCAAAACGTCTGTCACCACGTGGTGTCCTCACTGCTCCACTCGCCCGCACAGACCCGCTCGGCCGCACCACCACAACGCACCACAATATGTCGATTATTTACCTCGGCACACGGTTAGCTTCGGGCTGATAGCTAATTAATCTTATGCGGACACTAAATAATTTCCGCAGGGGGCTCACGCTTGCGTGGGTACGTGGCCTAGCGACCACGCGGACCCTAGCTCTTGCCCTCCAGAGGGGAGGTAATTGCCCGGTGTTTGAACCGGCACTTCAGGTAGGCCACAGTTATGGTCGACTGGACAAGCCAGCCTCTTTGGGTGGTACCCAAAGTGAGAGTACCCAGTGACATTTCCTCCATTCAGGGTGGAGGGGTGTTCAGCTCTGCGAGACTTTGGTCTCCCACCTGCCTGTAGCTGTGGTTGTGACTGGAGTTCTTCGGGCTCGTCCTGCCTGCTGTGTACGACTGACATTTTGTGAGGCATATCCTCGGCTCTGGAAGTAGCCTCGTCCTGGGAGGTGAAAAATTGGGTAAGTTAGCCCCCAAAGGGGAGGTAACTGCTCGGTGTCGGAATCGGCATTTCAAGTAGGTCATAGTTATGGACGACTGGACAAGCCAGCCTCTTTGGGTTTACCCAAAGTGAGAGTACCCAGTGACATTTCCCCATCCAGGTTATGGGGGGTGTTCAGCTCTGCAAGAGGTGGAAGTGCGCCACCAATCTATCATCTGCCTGTAGCTATGATCCTTTGGGCTCCGGCCCGCTTGTTGATGTGCGACCGGCATTCAGTGTGGCAAATCCTCGACTTTGGAAGTAGCCTTCCTGGAGGTGAAATCGGGCGAGTACCCGTTAGTTCACGGGGATACTCTAGGGGAACGTAACTTTCCGCAGTGTGAGGGCAACGGCTGGGCGCACTCCATCAGCCAATCCCTGTCTCTGAGACCGGAAGGTATGGTTATCTAGAGTGTGGGGGGTTCTCCCTGGAACCTCAATTGAGCAAAGGGTGTCGCCACCTTTGGTGGATAGGTTCATCCGGGTGGGACCCACTTCTATTCCTGCCTCCTTTTGGGAAACCCTGATGGCCTGGCAGTGATGTTGGGCTTGATGGGCAAACGAAGTAGATCGGGTGCTGGGTTCAAGCCCGCTGCGGGTGTTCAGGGATCTATCGCCTTGGTCACCTCTGGTTTCCCAGCAACTGGGTAAGGCCTCGATCGGGTAGTGGTGTAAATGGGTGGTTGGGGTTCCCCCCATCAGCTTGCTGGTGGTCCCCTTCTTCCTGGCTTTGATGGCGGGTTTTGCCTGTCAGGAATTGGATAGGTCCCGAGTGTTGCTTGCACTAAATGCGTCAGGGCATTTCACTATGGTCCTTCTGGGTTCCGTACCTGGGGGAACCCAGGTGAAGTGACGCTTAAACAAGTAGCCGGTATCCCTGGTTAGGATTGAGGGGCAACCCTCTTTCCGAAGGGTTGCTTCGGCAGCCGGTGAGCTTGATGACCTTAAGTCATCCTCCCATGGTGTACCAAAGGTCTGTGCGCATGCTTCGGCCTACATCATGGGGCCCGGGTATGTTTAATTATAGGTACCGGGTTAGCAGTCAGGGAGTTACTTGCTCTCATGACAAAACGAAATGGAATGGAATGGATGGACACTAAATAATCTTTTAAACACAAAACTAAGTCTTCTAACGTCAATAAATCCACTAAAACTGCTAGAAATGTGGGAGCTGTCGTACCAGTAGTCTTAATCACATGCAGTCAGTGCTGCCAACCCTATTCATTGACTTATTCCAAAAGTGAACCAATTCTCCGTTGCTACAGTGATGCTGACTTTGCAAATGACAAGTCAAGAAAGTCACGCACAGGATATTTGTGTATGTTTGCTAATGCTAATGGCATTGCAAGTTGGTCTTCAGTGAAGCAACATTGCGTTACATTGTCAACCACAGATGCAGAGTTTGTTGCTGCGAGTGAGGCTTCTAAGCAAATAGTATGGTTGAAAACTATGTTGGGCGAGATATATGGTCAAGAAATCAAGGCTGTGTTTTTTAAACAACGCTGGAGCTGTTCGACTAGCTAGAAATGCTGGAGAGTTTCATAAGCGGTCAAAACACATTCATGTGAGATACCAGTATGTACATGAGCAATTCCTTGCAAGTACATTTGATGTACATCACGTGTCTGGGAATTACCAACTAGCCGATTTCCTGACGAAAGGCCTACCAGTGTCCAGATTGAAAACCCTGTTGGAGCGTGTTAGTTTGAGGGCATATTGAAAGAAACTAACTTGCTCAATGACTATTTAGAATCACATGGTTTATAATTAATTAAATCATGTGTATGATTGTTTTATCTTGAAAACATGTTTCCCCCAACAGCACAATGGGCTTGCTGGGAACTTGTTCTAAGTCCATTGGCCCAAGTCCCTAAGCCTGGTTTAAACTCAGGGACCCAAGTCTGTAGGCTTGGTTTTGACTTGTTTTAGATACCGAAGTTGGCAGTTGTTCAACTTGTTAGGGGTTTGGCTCCCCAAGTCTAACCCACGTCCCAACCACAAACCTACAGTTAACTGAGTTAACTCATGCACACAAACCCACTCAAAGCTTGGAATGATGAACACAACCTGGGTCTAGTAGATAAAAAAGGCTCATTGTGGACTTGTTTGGGACTTGGGGACCTAAGCCCAATTTCAGTAGGCCCACATTGGACTTGGCTTAGACTCATATTGGAATTGGTTTTAGCACATGTTGGACTTGGACAAACAAGCTCACACTGATGCTCATTATAGACTTGTTCGGGACTTGGAGACCCAAGCCCAATTTCAGTAGGCTCACATTGGACCTGGCTTAGACTCATATTGGAATTGGTTTTGGTAGCCTACATGTTAGACTTGGGTAAACAAGCTCACACTGACATACTCACTTTGAACTTGGTACACAATTGTTGTTTTGTTATAGCTCTCAATAAATACTTTAAAACTAGTGCACCTGTTGCTCAAATTCGAGCAATTGCAAAGTATTACAGGTGTTATTTTAAAACGAATAACAGTCATGATTATTTCCGATGACTTAAAAGAGGAAACTCAAAGATAATGTAATCAATCACTCCATTCTAGTTATCGAAACTGAAAAAGAACGCTCTTGTGTGTATCATGTGTTTACTATGAACAGCTGTAAATAATACAAATTATTCGTCTGTTTAGTAAACAAAATAATTTTTTCATAAGAATTACATTGGGATTTTGATGGCCTGTGGGGCAAAGCCCGAGGCGAGGACTTATATTACAGGAATTGGTGAAAGGGGGTGTCTAGTCAAAAAATACTTAATGTTGACACATCGTTTGTAAAAATCCGTCCATTATTAACGGAGGAGTAGTGTTTTGTAGAAATCACCTTCACGTATTATATACAGGGTGTTTTTTTAAAAACTTGCATCTTTATTTATGTAAAAACCGCAATAGATAGAAATATGCAGTTTGCGGGAATCATCTATTGACGTAGGGGGCCCAATTGTTTTGAATTCAACGTTACATTCACATTCCCCCCCTTTCCCCCCTGCCAAGTACCCCTTGTGACATATCAAATGAAAGAGCATGAAAAAAGAAAATTTTTGGTGAAATTTATTTTTCATTTGATATGTCACAAGGGCGGGTACCTTGCTATTAAAAAACAACTGATGGGTAGGGGGAAAAGGGGGGGATTATCTCACAAATTCATGAGCCGATTTTAATGTTTTTTTCACCAAAAATTTTCTTTTTTCATGCTCTTTCATTTGATATGTCACAAGGGGTACCTTGCTATTTAAAAAAAATAAGTTGGGGGCAGGGGGGAAAGGGGGGAATGTGAATGTAACGTTGAATTCAAAACAATTGGGCCCCCTACGTCAATAGATGATTCCCGCAAACTGCATATTTCTATCTATTGCGGTTTTTACATAAATAAAGATGCAAGTTTTTAAAAAAACACCCTGTATAAGGATATCAATATGTCATAACCCTAAACCTTTATAATGTTGTTTAGAATGTTGATACAGTAGAGTCCCGCAAACTCGGCGTAATGTGGACTGGAAGGGTGCCGAGTTTGTGAAATGCCGGGTTATCGGGAACTAGAGTTAAAAATAAGAGCAACCGCCTTTTTCAATTAGATTTATATTACAAGTCAGTATTAAGTCATCAGATATAGTACAACTCCTTAGTACGAGTTGCAAATTATTATACTTGAGCTGGCTTGTGTCCATGTTTATTTTGGACTCAAAAAATCACTAATTTTTTAGCCAGGTGATGGCCGAGTTATCCAGACTGCCGGGTTATCCAGTGCCGAGTTTACGGGACCCTACTGTAATACTGATAATACTAACAAATTTGTCTTATTAGTGTTAAATAATTTAATTTAGGTGTTTAATTTGGATTTTTTAAACAATAATCACTGTGTGATTAGAGAAAATAATAATATTTAAGCTGTAATAATAATAATTTAATCTTACTTAATATTATAAATGTGAAAGTTTAGATGTATGGATGTATGGATGGATGTATGTTTGTGACAAGTGAACGCAAAAAATACTGGTCGGATCGGGCTGAAATTCGGCATGATGATAGCTCATATTCCCGATTAACATATAGGCATATTTTTATCCCAAAAATCCTTCCGGGCTCCGCCCCAGTGGCTCTGGAGTTTCCCATGTTAAACTTATGAGAAATGGAATTAATGAATCTTAACAGCTGTTTCAAATTAACTAGTTGGTTCTGTTCTATGATGTTCAATAGCATTAAAGTTACAAGGATTACCAACAGGGTGCAGCACTATTATTTCTTTTACATTTATGACAACAGCTAATTTGCAACCAAAAGGTGAGTGAGCGTAGCGAACGAACTTCAACCTGGAGGCGAGTGAGCGTAGCGAACGAGCTAACCTGAAGGAAAGTGAGCGTAGCGAACGAACTTCAACCTGGAGGTGAGTGAGCGTAGCGAACAAGCTAACCTGAAGGAAAGTGAGTGTAGCGAACGAGCTCCAACCTAAAGGTGAGTGAGCGTAGCGAACGAGCTCCAATCTAAAGGTGAGTGAGCGTAGCGAACGAACTTCAACCAGGACGTGATTGAGCCATGCAAACGAGATCATCTTGAAAATTAAGAAGTTAAACGGGGCAAAGCCCGCGGGTTACAGCTAGTATAAATATATATTTAACGTAAAAGCAATTTCCCACCGTTCACTTTCCATTCATATTTCAGCCCTATTATTTTCCATAAAAATTATTAAGGTCATATTATAAATCTCAAGTGATAAAAAATCGGTTAAATTTATATATTAATAAAAAAGATCTGTTGGGTCCAGAAAACAAGGCATTCACGTTTCAAGATAATTTATTACTATGTATAGTAAATACAATTTCCATTATTTATTTTACTTCCTCTTCTTCAATTTCTTCTCCAACTTCAACTCCTCCGCCTGCTTCAGAAGATCTATAACAAATTGTACAATGGCATTAGATACTGGGAAAATTAATAGTAGTATTAAAAGGGAACGTATCAAATAAAGAATACACCCCTCATAACCTCGTTAAGAAGAGGCTTAAAGAAATAAAGTGTCAGCCTGGTGATAGGGCGAGATGAGAAATTAACCCTGCTTTGTAATAACACTGTTTAAAACTGATAAATAATTTCAATTTTGAGTTGTTGCCTTGAGATTAAGGGAAAGTAAATAAAAGGAACGTCTTTTAACACGGTAGGGGATATACAAAAAACATGGTAAGTGGTGATCGATTTTGATTGGACATTCCAATCATCCTCAGACCCAATAGACAAATGACAAGAATCTGAATGTCGTCCCTACTTATATCCCATTGGCTACGGGAAGCACCCGCCAATACATTTTAATTGACAAAGAAATTGAATTTAGGCTTTCAAGCTACCTCATCTAGGCATAAGATCAATTACATTCAACCAAAATATTTTCTTTGGCACCTAAAATGGTGAACATTCTTGGAATGCATATAAATCAAGATGACAGTGAATGATAATTTTTCCCTGTGAACTAAATTCCCTTCACTCGAAAAGGAAGTTTTGGAATCAACAATCAACGTCACTGTAGTTCGTCATGTAACAAGTGTTCCTTTACTGTTTAAACACATTTAATAAGTATAGTTGGCCCTATTGAAAAAGTTATTTACATACTCGGAAAATAAAGTCAGAAAACATGTTAACGTACAACACGCTTTATGGTAGGCAGACAACTTCAATTTATTGGATTGTAGGTACTCAATGTCAATCATATGCTGATTTCAAGAAAGGTGAAAGTTGTTTGAGAATTTGTTTGAATACATCAAAAACTAAAAATATATTAACTTCATCTACAATGTTATAAGGTAGAAAATTAACTTACTTTCGATCTAGTCTGTATTTTGCTTGTTGCAGCCACTTTCCCATCCAGGTCTTCACTACTTCCTCAGTTGCCACTGGGTTTACTCTTTTTACAGCTTCTGAAATCAACCATCCTTTTAAAGAAGTATATAATAACAGAGTCCAAACTCTGATTGAGGGCATTACTACATCTATAATCACCGGTCTGAGCTTGTTTAACTCAGAGAAAATTAACCTTTCATCGGGCGCATCATGGAAGTTACCTCCGGGTCACAACATTTTTCATTATAAAAACCATAGTTTGTGTTTGGCAGGGCTGTTGCCTGCCGTACCTCAAGAACCTCTTTTGCAGGATTGGTTTTGGCAACTCTTACCCCTTTCCCAGTTGTCAAACAACATTGGGGTTTACGTCACTGAAGGTAGCTTCCGTGTGCGCCCTTTTGTTTGACCGTATCTATTGATATTATAAAATGGATGAAGCAGAACGAATAGCGAGATTGTTGGGTAGTGTTGAAAGGGAGGACAGGGAAGAAGATTTAGTGGAAAGGCCCACTGGCGGGTTTGTTCGGGTACTATTTTTTTAATGAAAAAGATCTTTGACAATATGAGTAGTCCTTCTAACAAATTATTTATTTCATCCGACAATAGGTACTTTATTTCATACACTATTGCAATTTTTTTAAGAGCTTTGAAAAAATAAGTTGTCCTTATAAAAAAGATTTTTCATAAGGACCATGCAGATGTTTTTATGTCATACACTGATGCAATTGTTGTCTAAGAGCTTTGATTAAATGAGTTGTCCTTGTAACAAATCAATATTTTCATTATAGTACAGGCAACGAATGCTAAAAAAAGGGTATAGAGGGAAATGTTTGGAACACAATTTCTGACTTCGTAACTTTGTTTAGTATAGTTAGGAGGTTAACATACCAAAAGTCCCCGCCTCTAGCCCTTGTGCTGTGGGGGAGGGGGGGGCTTGAAGGTACAATTTTTCGGTTTTTTGCTGATATCTCGGAAACCATGCGTCCAAGCGAAATTATGCTAATATACAAAATGAAAGCTTATTAAATTTCCAGCAAGTTTGTAATTTACTATTTTTCGATATCTTGTATAGTTTTCGTGTTATTTGCTATCAAAAGTTTGTAAATTTGGAAAAATACATATTTTTTTCTCATGTTTTTTGTTCTTTTTGACAAGTTGCCTCTCAAACTATGCGCCAAAAAAATAAATGCTGGGCATATGGTTGTAGAAAATTAAATTCCCTTCAATAATATATATGACTTTACTAGTTTACCTCCTTCCGTTCAGATTTTAAAGCAAATTAACCGTCAGTATAAAAAAAAATAATTTAATAAAAATTTAAGAAAATTAAAATCTAGTGTTGAGCAAGGAATTTGAAGTCTTGCAACAGCTGTTGACTACTTAATATTTCAATTTATCACCTTACACAGTCAACTAATTGGTTGGAACATTCACTATCAAGTATCTAAGGTGAGTGATGGGCGTCTAAAAATAGCACAGATACCCTATAGAAAATATACACTTGTGGGCTGCCTAACCAGCTTCCTCACACTTGATGATCTAGCTAGACTATTGTAATGGGAAAATATGGTGTTATAACCATGTTTATGCATATAAAAGTGTCTATATGACACTGGAAACCAATCACAACAATAAAATTGAAATCAAGACAATTGACATATTTAAGTAGGAGTTATCATAAAACATTACATTAGTGAGTAGCCTTAGCCTACTATTGAATCAATTCAGCCTTGCTATCTTAGTTTGGAAAGGACTACCATCCTCATAATTGTTTTTATCCTCTTATTCTCTAAGAAAAAAGGTAAGGGACATCTTTTTCTCGCACCATAAACTATCTTAACAAGGATTAGATGATATTTTGAAAGCGATTCTACTGGATGTGACAAAAAATCTTCAGCATTTGAGAAAAGCAAGGTTGCTTATGCGAAGTTGTATCTGAATTCCCCAGTGGCCCAAAATGCATCATCGGTCTTTCACGCCCCCTCTCCAACACCACCCAAATACAAAAGGTATGGAAAATGTACATCTTGATTTGATATGGGCTTCAGCGAGAGAGGTATTGTGCACTTCGACTTCAATCTATACAGGTACAAGTCAATTTTTAAATCGACGGTCTCCATCAAGCCTAATATCTCTTGTCTTCCTCCGACTGATGGTGCTTTCAAACATGTTTTCTATCATGTACATTCCAAAAGGTTCAGCTGTGGCTGGGAATAACCTGCCTTCTCTTATGTAAGAGTGGAAAAGAATAATAAAAACTCTGTAGTAGCAGAGCACACACAGCATGAAACTACACTGAAGGATATTCTCAAAATTGTTTTCTGCCTATGCACATAAAACTGTACTCGTGCAAAATCAGGGAGCAAAAAAGCAAGCCTAAAATAAGTATGCCAAAAATGTCAAAATGTTGTCCCTGGGAAAGATGACTAAGAATATGAAGAAAAACAGTATACCATTTCCAAAATAGGTCCGGTCCGATGGAGAAAAAAGGATAAAAAATGATGAGGATGGTAGTCCTTATTAAACTAAGATAGCACGGGATAGAATAGTAGGCTCCGATGTAATGTTTTATATTAATTCATTTAAATATGTAATTTATCTTTGTTTAAATTTAATGGTTGTGATTGGTTTCAAGTGTCATATAGACACTTTTATAATATTTTCCCATTACAATAGTCTAGCTAGATCATCAAGTGTGAGGAAGCTGGTTAGGCAGCCCACAAGTGTATATTTTCTATAGGGTATCTGTGCTATTTTTAGACGCCCATCACTCACCTTAGATACTTGATAGTGAATGTTCCAACCAATTAGTTGACTGTGTAAGGTGATAAATTGAAATATTAAGTAGTCAACAGCTGTTGCAAGACTTCAAATTCCTTGCTCAACACTAGATTTTAATTTTCTTAAATTTTTATTAAATTATTTTTTTTTATACTGACGGTTAATTTGCTTTAAAATCTGAACGGAAGGAGGTAAACTAGTAAAGTCATATATATTATTGAAGGGAATTTAATTTTCTACAACCATATGCCCAGCATTTATTTTTAGGGTGCATAGTTTAAGAGGCAACTTGTAAAAAAGAACAAAAAACATGAAAAAAAAATGTATTTTTCCAAATTTACAAACTTTTGATGGCAAATAACGCGAAAACCATACAAGATATCGAAAAATAGTAAATTACAAACTTGCTGGAAATTTAATAGGCTTTCATTTTGTATATTAGCATAATTTCACTTGGACGCATGGTTTCCGAGATATTAGCAAAAACCCCAAAAATGGTACCTTCAAGCCCCCCCCTCCCCCACAGCACAAGGGCTAGAGGCGGGGACTTTTGGTATGTTAACCTCCTAACTATACTAAACAAAGTTACGAGGTCAGAAATTGTGTTCCAAACATTTCCCTCTATATCCTTTCGTTGCCTGGACTATTAGACCATACGTGTTTTTATGTAATACACTATTAAAAATTGTATATGATAGTACTGTATATGTACAAAAAGTAAGTCTTTTTAATCCACAACACTTAAGTAGCCTATGTGCATTGTTTAATTAACACTTACTATTTTATAAAGAACTTAAGTAATCATGTAAAAACTCAAAATTTGTTTCTTACAGTTTTATTGCTATTAGATGAGTTTTACCACAGCCACCTCTAATACAAGGCCGCGACGTTCGAACTGGCAACGCCGCAATCACACCCCCTCTGCGTCCGTCTTCACACGCGCTAGGCCATGAACATCAATGAGAGTATTGCTGCTCTGTATCAATGAATGAAAGTATTTAAATACGTAATAACATATTTTAGTAGATTTTAAGGTATGGTCAAATAGACAAAATTGTAATCTAGGTTGTTTATTTAGTGAAAAATTGCAACATACCGCAATATGTCTAAAACTAAAAATATACAAACATAATGTTTTTGGTTGCATTTACCGTATTGTAAGTAAGATGAATGTAGAAATATAGATGAACTTTAAATATTTCCTTTGTTAATTTGATAATCTACACTATTATATAACAATCTCATGGTGTCTGTATATATGTGTATTATTCAACATAGTAAAAACTAATAGACAGACTGTGCTTAAATTTTACAAAATAAAGCTACTATACCAAGAATGGTTATACAGTAGGACTAACTTATTGCCACTTCAATATTTGTAGAGACTTTGGGATTTGTAGAGACTAACATCTAGCCTAATTCGTTCAAATAAAATTAATTTTTGAGCGGAGCGAGCGGAGCGAAGCTCTTATACTACACTCCTGCTTTTTTATTACAAATACTCCTCCTGAACGGCTGAAGCGATCTGCATGAAATTTAACACAGTCATAGTAACCAACCATGGGAAGGTATAAATCTGAAACGGTACAAATCGGACCATAGGACTTTTCCCTACATGAATGCAAACTTTTGGAAATTTAACATGGGCCTTATGGGTTAATTGGTCGCCATGTCATTATTTGCGAGTAAACACTAAAAAGTAAACAAGAGCCTCAACATTAGTCAACAAATCTACCACATGATAAATACAGTACAAAAGAAAAAATTGGATAATACTAAAGAGCATATTATAGTATATTGTATGTAATACGAAATGAGTTCTATATCAGTTCTATATTGAGTGATTAAACTCCATGCCGTTTATATTTAATTGTAAAATGGTTCTGTTCTTTTTAACAACAATGAATAGTTAACTAATTAGGCCTAAGTTTATGTTGCTTGGATAAGGAGAAGATAAAACGAGGTCATTAAAAAAACACTACAACATAATTATACCAACAAAAATCACACCGCCCTTGATTTGCAAGAAACTTTGTAAAAAATGTTCTTGTAGCTAAAAATACAAAATCGTTTTACGAAATGAAATCACAACCACGTGGTTTACAGGTAAGGTTTAAGACTAAATGGTGTAACTTAGACAATAAAATAGTTGTATTGATAAATTTTATTGCACAATAGGGAAATTTTGAAAGTGGTTGACGACAATTTCTTACTTTTAACTGCTAAAATAAAACTAGACCTAAGTTATAGTCCTATACTAAGTGAGGCTAACCCCAATCCCTCACAACAATAATACTGGTAAACAGTTATTGAGGTAATTGAATTGGTGAGTTTTATGAATGTTCAATGCAAATAAGTCTTCTGTACAAATAAATGATTCTTTTTTTAATAATGAAGAAAGAAGACATTGAAAAAAAATAAAGAAAAGCAAATTCTACATACAATGGGTAATAATAATATAATAATAATCGTTATTGCCTTTTAATAATACAGGTATTGCTTAGGCCTACCATGATTCATTTGCAGTATCGAAATTATTGAGCGGAGTGAAGCGAAGCTCTTATACTACACTCACTGCCTTTGTTTTACAAATACAGATGTCAGGCTCCACCTGACAGGCTTAAGCGATCTGCAGGAAATTTGGCACAGTCATGTAACCAACCATATGGGAAGGTATAAATCTGAAATGGTAATATTCGGACCACAGGACTTAAACCAATAATAAGGGTTGCCGGAATTAGGCTGATGCACCATATTGCGTTTGGAATCTGTAAATAACTTACAGCATTTTATGTGAGCAAGACGTGCAATTAATGTAGACTTTGAATATCTATCTGATTGGAACATGTTCAATTCCTATTTGCAGTCTACAAATAGGAATTCCACTAATGTGAACCAAATATAACACAATTCGTTGACTTGAACCCGACGTATCATTGACTTTGAATACTGCACATAGACATCCCATATAAGTGAAGCAGAAGTAGGCCTAAGCCTACCATTGACTTCGGATACTGAAATTAGGCATTTTATTTATGTGAACAAAATAAATGGACCATTGATTTATTGAGGATACTGCAAGTAGACTATTCATTTATACATGTACCATTGGGTTTGGATACTACAAGTAAACAATCCGTCTACGTGAACCATACGTACTATTGACTTTAGAATCTGTAAATAGGCATTCCATTTATGCGAACCAAATATATCATTGGCATTGGATACTGCAAGTAGACATTTAATTTATGAGAACCAGATGAAACATAGAATACGGTTCCTGCAAGTAGACGTTTCATTCACTTAATCCTGACTTATGATTGACTTTGGATACCTCTGCAAATAGGCATTCTATTTAAAATGCAAAAAAATCATTGATATTGAATATGCTGGCTCCGCTCAATATTGCAAGCAGACAACTGCATTGTACACCTAGTAATTTTTAATAGGAATATTATGTTTTAGTCTACCTGAGGAAACCATAAGTTAGCGACAACAAAATTTGAAGTTTTCATTTTGAAGGCATACTGACTAAATAATTTATTTTCTTTGAATAATTAATAAGAAAAACGTTTGCCATTTTGTAAACGATTTCAGAAGCTAGGCCTCCATATGGCTTTCCACAATATTAATAGAATTTTTTATCACATCAACATTCAGACTGGATTCGGAGACTATGATGCTTTTATTGTTAGATGGTGCAGTAGGTTGCATATTTTTTTACTAGTAGGCCTACTTAACAGAAACACCGGCTTATTTCTTTGAAGTGGCATTTATTTAAGTTATTTTAATCACTTAACAACAGCATTTATCAATAAGATAGACAAATAAATAAGGAAAAAGTACGGTATTACTACCTAAAACTTGCTTCTCGCGTCTATATTTACACGAATCATTGTCTTATTCTAACATTTTTTTACAAATTTAATCTAAGCTCATATTCGTGAAAAATGTTTCACACAAAAACGAGAATATTTTTAAGATGTCTAATTTGATCGAAGAATATCAGAAAGCAATTGTTGCTTACGCGGTGGATCAAGTAGAATCTTAGAACACTGTATGTATTATTCATTTTTAATCGAGCTATCGTAATTATTCTTGCATCCAGGCACATCACATCTATCTGGCATGCTGTAGTAAGAAGTTTAACGTCATTACTGATGATTAAAGGTAGTAGAAACGCGATTATGTACGTAGAGTACGCGACTCCTCCATTCACTGTAATGGTAAAACGACCGAACGCCAAGACACTGATGCGACGTTGCCGCTTTTCACTCGCCGCGGCCTTGTATTAGAGGTGGCTGTGGTTTTACTCAACTCATGTAGGCTATAGTTTTCGTACTCCCAGAGGTAACTTCCGTGAGCGCCCTTTGGTTTTTGAAAATCAATCCGCCCGACAGAAGGTTAAATGCAAGCTCAATGTACCATGATTGTCAATTAACACTAAAGAAATTGTGATAAAAAACATTTAGCTTCTTACCGTGTGCGATTTTGCAGGCATTTGTTTTAAAAAATGCAATTTTCTTCGTCTTTTCTTTGTTTCTTGCAGTGTTACCGCTGTAAGAGTATTCTACCGCAACCTGGTAGGACATCAACCGTCGTAGGCAGTTGTATGTCATAGTTTTTAGATCCTTCCCCCCCAACCAAGGTTAGAACCTTAAACTGAAAAAAATATATATATTATTTGATTGTTTAATTAAGTGGACATAATATGAAGATAACTGTTAAAAAGTTAATGAAAGTATAAGTGCTGTGTTAATTTGTACAATTCACACATTTAATGACAGTCAATTTTTTTACGAACATAACAAGCGAGCATTACGAGCGTGGCAAATGGTCCCTTATGGCATGCAGGCGGATGGTAAGTGGCACATGGGGGTTACAGCCTAAACTTTTGCACTGGCTGTATGTATCTGTTGTTTGACCCGCCCTTACATATGGTTCGCTTGTGTGGTGGCCAAAGATGGAATCAACTATAGCTGTCAAAGCTTTAGCAGGAGTTCAGAGGCTTGCTCTTATTATGATAACTGGGGCAGTAAGCAGCTGTCCTGGAGCGGCACTTGACTGTCTGCTTGACATGCTACCTATTGACATTTATATTAAGGTGGTAGCAAGTAAAACAGCCCAACACCTTAGATGCGAAAACTTATGGATAGCCTCAGGAAACAATAAAGGGCACTCCAAAATTGTTCAGGTGGTACATAATGATGAATTGGACTTACCTTCAGATCACATGTCCAAAAAATACTCCTTTGGAAAGCCTTTCAAAGTACTAATGCCAGATAGTAAGGATTGGTCTGGCGGAAAAGGACCCATACCCACAGGTGACTTAGAATGCTATACTGATGGTTCTAAGATCAAAAATGGGGGCACTGGAGCAGGTGTGCATTGGATGAATGGAGGCACTGGTATTTGTCTTCCAATGGGGACCCAACTGTCTTTCAAGCGGAGGTCACTGCCATTCTAGTTTGTGCTCAAGAACATCTTAACAAAGATATCAGAGACAAAACAATCAATATCTATACTGATAGTCAAGCGACCTTAAAAGTATTAAACTCTTACGAATTCAACTCCAGGTTCGTGTGGGATTGTCTTGCTTCTGTGTCTGAGTTGGGTAGGAGAAATAACTTTACGCTTTGCTGGGTGCCAGGACACTGAGGCATTAAAGGAAATGAAGCTGCAGACAGATTGGCAAATACTGCCTCTGCGACATCATTGTTAGGCCCACAACCCTTCTGTGGCATCTCACGAAACAGTGTATGTTCTGCGATTGCGTCATGGGCCAAGGAAAAGCATCGCAAACGCTGGGTCGATGTTCCCCTTCTTAGGGTCAGCAAGCTTACTCTGTTTAGGCCTTCCAAAAAGGTTGCCTGTGACCTCTTGAGACTAGACAGACGAAGAATTAAATTAATTGTTGAACTGATAACTGGTCATGGAAGATTCAGGAAACATCTACAACGGATGGGCTTATATGATGGTGAACCGATCTGTAGGTACTGTGATAGGTCAGAAGAGACAGCTGATCACTTACTCTTTGATTGTAACGAGCTCTCTGACGCTAGATCGATAACTCTTGGAAATATGGCTAGAGGTAGATATCTTCCTGAGGATGAACTAATTGGGAAGCTACAGGCATTCATTGGGCGCCTCAACTTGTAGGTCAACAAGAAAGCAATTAAGTATCTGGGGTGTGCAATAATTTGATTTCGGATGAAGTGCTTTAAGGTCTCGACCTGCCCCTGTCAGATAAGATAAGATAAGACGAACATAACTTAATGTGTTTTCTTTATGCACAATTTTTAAACAAGACAACCCCAAAGTCTGTTAGTGACTAATACAGATGGCGGAAAACCTGAACAGTTGTCTTTATCTTTTTTACTGTACCGGGCTCCTCCCTCTGTTCTCATTGGTAGACTGTTTCAAGGCTGATTTTGTAAAGTTTAGCCTTAAAGTTTAAAGGGCAGGCATATTAGCATTCCCAAAAATATAAGATTTAGTGTCTTTTTATCATAACCCCTCCGCAGAGCACTGTATGGATATAACCTTTAACTATTTAGACAACAGTATCAATTAGTCAATCATAACTCACTTTTCAGGAAAATGTAAACATTTTTTAGCGAATTTTCCATGAAGAGAATAGACTATAAGCGTAGATCTCATGGTAAGACCTGGACCCAGGACCGATTTATTTTTTTGTTTTGAGGTCCCCAGAGGCCGAAAACACCATATGTTTAGATTCATACATAGGCCTATATTAATAATTAAAAATACTCCCGCCGCATCAAACCTGCAGACTAAGCAAATTTCCATTTACCCAACTTGATTTCTAATCAAATATTCCCTAAAAATTCTCAGATTTATTTCCTATTTAAATAACATTAATTTTAGTGAGTATCTTAGGTTTGCTGCAACGCGGAAGATATTAAGGTGTGTTTTTTAATTAAAATGTCGATAGCTAAGTATGAAATACAATACGTTGGGCATACAACAACGCTTCAATATACAAAATTATTTCATTTTTAAGCAGCTACAAAATTGTTTTGGAGAAAAATTATGAAATTTTGTGCTTTTAGGGTCAAAAATTACTCCCCATATACCCCTGTTCCCATAGTCCGATTATGCTGGTTCGCAAACTTGTTTGAATAAACAAATGTTTACACGTTTAAACCAAATTTGATCAAAATCGCATCATTTTTGCTTGAGTTATCGCGCCAACGGACACAAATATGTTAATTATATATTAATATATGACAAACACTGTGACACGAGAATTTTATATAGGCCTATTAGATATGATTTGAACAGATGGCGTTTTTGGCCTCTGGGGACCACAAAACAAAAAAGTAAATCAGTCCAGGGTCTAAGGTCTTACCATGAGACATACGGTAATAGTTTCTTCTCCATGGGAAATTCTCTAAAAGGCACTTGGAGCTATTTTTACTATTTATATATATTTATTTGTAAATAAATGGATTTTTTTTAAGACAAAATGAAGTCTAATTTAAACATAGCTTTTTAAGCTTAGGTTTCGACTAGTTAAGGTTTGTAATTAAACATCGAGCATGTGACCTAGACAGTTCTATTTCTGCACAGAAACGTCAAAGTCAGACAGTGAAAATCCTGACCAGGAAGTGTGTCAGACCTTGTTACGATCCCTTTTAAGCATCAATATGTTTTATGGTCAGCCTATTATTTCAGATTTTAAGGGTTTGTACAATATTGATATAAAAACATCCTGAAAAAGACCCAAAGGCTACAGCTTTGAGTTTACTTTGTGATACCTATTCATTATTTTTTCAACGTTCCTGCACCAGGAAATTAATGACCACATCACTTATTAATTCAAAATTATGTACTTTGCTGTGGTGGGAAAACTACTGACGGCTATGAATCTCAGAGCATAGATCAGTGTTCAAAATACTGAATATGATAAGTTACTAGTTAAGAATGTTTTTGTGCAAAGAAAAATACACAAACTTACCAACTGCCTATTAAATTGAGGGATTTCTAATATCTTCTCTAACTCTTCCACCTCCTTCAAATTCTGAACTGGTACCGTATATCCTTCCTATTATTTCATATTTTCGATTTTCCTGTTCTTCGTTGTACATGGCACAGTCATCCATTTTTCTGCTTTTTTGCACAGCGTCTGTGAGGACAACCACTGTTTCCTGGAGCTGTCCGACGATGACAAAAAGTCTATTTATAATCTGAAAATATAAAATTAATTTAAAATCAATCACAAATCAACATTAAACATAAAATACAATGTAATGCAACAATTGTATTTGCAATTTGAATGGTTTTCAACTTTAGAGCTCATCTAGAAAGAAATATAATACGGCAACAGCAGTAAATAGACCTATGGGAAATACAGTTGTTACTAAAAATAATGAAATGTGCTTATACAGAAAAATTTTATAGGCCTATGTTAAACGTGGGGTAAATGTATGCCCGGAACAAATAAACTCCCAGCTAAGTACAAATTTGTATATTAACTAAAAAGTTTAAACACAGCCAAATGTATTTCAAACTATGCTCTTTTAAATAATCAATAATTAATTATCTTGTTACTATTTCTATGAGTTTAAACGTGTTTAAAATCTCTTCCGTTTATACCCAAAAACCGTTCAGAGAAAAAAAATTAAATCTGAAATATATTTATACATGTGCACGTATATTTATATGTATAGGCCTACCCATAGATAAAACATTACAACTGCCAAAGAATGAGCACATTAAATTTGACACATGACAAAAAATCAACCAACTAGTTTATGCAATTATAGTTTTAGGGTGATAAACCGGTGACGACCTATTGCTGAACAGTGTGATGCAGAAAAGACATTGGTCTATTTTGCCGCACACTGTATTTAAAATAGACCATCAAAGCACTAATCAGGATTACCCCTACTTTAAATGTAATAAAATTAAACTCACTCTCATTATTGCATCCACTTTTTGTTGGCAACAGCTGTCGATGAGGAGTGTGCTGCTGCATAGGTGGCTTAGAAGGAAGTTCTGGTTCTGAAAAATGGGCTGAGGTAGAGGGATAGTTTGGGGTCAAAAAGGAAGGTTCATTTGCAGGTGTAGGGAAATTAAGAAATAGGCCTAGGGGTCTGGCAAGTGTAGTGAGGGGATTGTACCTAGAAGAAGAATAATTATTTTGTAAAGAAAATAACAAATTGTTCCCATGGTTAGTGATGTAAAATGCCCGGGCTTGTATACGGGTTTATAGAAAATAATTTATGTGCAGCTTTTTTTTGGAAAACAAATTTCTTCTATTATAATTTTAACTTTTGTTAAATAAAAATCCTCTATTTATTATCTTGGAGGCCTAATGGGAAAAATATTACGAGTTTAGAAAACGATTTTAGGCGATTTCAAATGGCCTGCGCGGGGTCATTAGTTCTCCGAGCAGCCACATACTGCGCTAGCGTTGCGACCCCTATAAATAGGCCGAGAAGCGGAATAGCTTTCGGACCCGCGTATATTGCGAGTCAATAGGTCGAGGGCAGAATAGCCTAATAGAATTATCAATACCCATTCGGTTGTTTGTGCCAACAGATATGGAAGTGTACCCGCAAACAGTAAAATGCTGGTTTGGTGCTTTTGGTGGGCTAGGTTTAAAAAAACTGATGCACTGTTCTGTAGTTTAGCAGAAGGCTAGGCCTAGTTAGTGCCATGCTTTTGTATATAAATTACTTATTAGTCATAAATAACTTCGTATGCAGAGTAATCTAACTTAAGCATTTACCAGGTACTATTTAACATACGGTAAACAAAATAAAGTTATACCGGTACAGTACTTAAATCATTTAAGTTCCCAAGAACCATAACCTCCAAAAAAAGAACCTAACGCCTAACGGTAAACAAAATAAAGTTATACCGGTACAGTACTTGAATCATTTACAGTGTTGCCACCACGTTGTTGCGATTTTACCCTAAAGGCGGGCTAAAATTACCCTAAATTACCCTAAATCTACTTTGAGTTACCCTAAAAATTACCCTAAATGTTAATATTTGCGTTTAATGCTATAAAACATTGTTAAAATCATATAAATCCTACATAAGATGGTTAATTATACTAAATGAAGTTCCAATATCAATCAATTTACGTAAAATTATACTCGATTCTAAAAAACCACCCGAAAGAAGAACACAAAATGTTGATATTGAATTGATCAGCTCTATATCGACTATCGTATAACGAAAAATATCGAATCAAGAACTATCGAATTTTTTTACTGTATCGACCCATTACTACTGTTTTTGGACAATCATATCTTTAAAATACAGTACGGTACCACCAAAGCTTTAATCTATACATAGTAGTAATTTCTTGACACATTTTGTAAAATAATCCAGTTTAATTCAATTCAGCCACATAATTAAATATCAAACCCAGTAATGAATAATATTTCATATTTTATTAGGCCTATAACGTGTTATAGAATCGAATACATTCTAAAACAGATAATTTCCAACTATTGATAAGATCGATTAGGATAACTTATTATGAAAAAATCATCATAGTAAACGATTTAAACCGATTTGAATCGAATATGATGGTTTAGCCATAGTATGTAATGAACGTTTTTTGCCAAATTTTGAAGTTTTTTTCATTTTTTTAGTAAAATTTCCATTATTATGCTAACTTTTAGTTTTACCCTAAAATTGCCCTAAATCTACCATTACCCTAAACTTTACCCTAAGACCAGTAAATTACCCTAAAAAAGGGTAATTACCCTAAAAGTGGCAACACTGATCATTTAAGTTCCCAAGAACCATAACCTCCAAAAAAAGAACCTAAGTCTTACCGGTAGGCCTATTAAAGTCAGTTCATAATTTTGATACAGGAACTTTGAATGTTGTGTGGATTTTGCAACTTATGGTAAAGAACTTAAAATAAAAAAAAAACACAACAACGTCAAAGATTATAACATTTTAGTGAGGCGCCGAGTCCGACAAAAGTTTAATTTATAAACAAAATTTTCTGAAGTTCCTTGATGCAAGGCAATTCATCATTTGCTTTGCTTAGCTTACTTAAGTTACTTACTATCATGAAACAAAGTAAACAAACTTTAAAACTAACCTATGAGTACTTTGATTCTTCTAAAAAAATATTAACTAAACCATTGACTATGAATCCTTAAAAGACATTGCATCTAGTACCATTGAAGTCAATGACTAAACTAACTTACTGGTAACGTAACGAATTAAACTAAAATAAAAAAGAAGAGAACTAAACTTAGAAAAGTTAAAGTAGGTTCAGGTTGACTAGAGCTTCAGCTTAGTCTAGCCCTGAGAGCTTAGTAGTACACGTAGTCGATCCACGATCCAACCAAATTGAAACGGGTACAACCATTCAACGAGCCATTTGATTTGAATTTGAATAATCATAAGCCAATCATTGGTCTCAGGTAAGAGACACAACTCTCGGCTTCTAAAAGAATCGAAAAAATGTTTTTCCTCTGTCCATTAATTGAAGAGGAGTTGAGTTGAGGCTAGTCTTGTAAGAGAAACTAACAATTCACTGCGAGTGTCAACCGATGAAAATGTATTATTGTCAAATACCACAGCTTTAGATTGAAAATAAGACATTTTAAAATGATTTTAGCTTACTATATATTACCTAAAACCAATTTTGTTTCTATTTTTGATATAGTTTAAACATTTAAAATCGATCAGTAATATACAAACTATACTGGATTAAGTGTTATCGTTTGAAGAGACATCTAGCGGAAACTAGATGAACTGTCGCGAGCCTCGACGGTAGCAGCATCCAGCGGTGATTGGTTAAACCATTAAAGTATTAAATATTGTCTGTGGTTAAACTGGCTAGAGACCCGCTACGAACAAAAACACAAAATTAAATCTAACTTTTTTAGAAATTTGTTTTTATTAAAATATTTTTATCTTGGGTTGTTAATACGGCCCAAGGTCTCTCTGGTCTTAAATTACTCAGTAAATGTTTGGCTTTAACTTGATTAATGACTAAATAAAATCCAACAAATTTAAAATGAGTCATAGACCATAATTTAACATGAAATTATTTTTATTTCGAAATTTATCTTCAGTTAAAGACATAATATATCCCCAATTAACTCCCAAAACTCGTTATAGTCTAAAATAATTCACCAAAGTAGGTACAGTATTGACTTTTATTTTAGCTATGGACTACATATTGGGAGTTATTTAGAATAGGGGATATCTTTATTTAAGTAAAGAAAATTGTCAAAGTAATAATAAATTAATGATCAATTTAATGATTACAACTTAAACTTTAAAGGAACTTAAACTATTTCCTTTAAAAGTAAAAAAACAATCACTTAACAGCCTCTTGTCTGCATTAAAGTGGTTTTTGATCAGTATTTTAAAATATCCTTCCTCACTTCTCTTTTTGAAAACACTGTGGGTACACAATCGAGGTTCACTAAAGGTCCAGAATTTCCTCGTTTTCTATCTCTTCGATGAATAGGATCTTCAACACTTGGCTCTTAACGCTAATAGTGAGAGCAAAATAAATTTTAACACAGTCAGCAACCAACTGTTGAACTGAATAGACGCGTTCTTGGACAACGGGCCTCCAAGCGATCGACGCCCAGCGATCATCGCTCGGCGATCACGTCTTGGACAACGCACCTTCATGGTGGAAGTAGCTGCTCTTAGCTCCTATGTCTGTCGTCAAACGTCATAATGTGGCCTTGACGACGGAAGGCCATAATTTAATTCACATTACAGTGAGAGTGAATGCAAATAAATAAGTAGGCCTACAACATAATATCTGAACCTCAACCTGGCGTAAAATTTGTCAATGAAAATGTTTATTATCCAATTACAGTAAGGCTGATAACCAGCATGGTGTAAATATAAAAACTTAAATTACGGAGGAATTTTAAAATTAATATTCCAGTAACATGCGCAATTAACGCCAGATAAATTACCGCCCCCCTTACTTTTAAAAGCGTTTAGATGACCTTTGCATATTTCCTCCATAATAATGCACTATGCACCATGAAACTGGTCAAAATGAACAGAGTTGCAATAAATTGCAACCGCTCGCTTCGCTATGGAAGCCAATCGATTTACGATATTCGATAGTAGTTGTTTTCATACTACGACGGCCTACCATATCGTTGTGCCTGTCTTACCCAGGCAACTCTAGTTGACCTGAGTAAAGCGTTTGATTGTGTTCCCCATGGTTTACTTTTGAATAAACTTGAGTACTACGGTATCCGTGGAACAGAACTCAATCTTTTTAAGTCTTACTTATCAGACCGCAGGCAGCAGGTTGATGTTGCGGGTATATTGTCAGATGAGAGTGAGGTTTTTTGCGGAGTGCCCCAGGGCTCGGTGTTAGGCCCTGTTCTTTTCCTTATAATGATTAATGATTTGGATAAATGTATGTCCTGTACTTCTGTGATTTATGCGGATGACTCCACTTTCTTAAATAGTCAAGGTACCTTTAGTGAACTCATGGTGCTGTCCAAACTTTCCCTCAATGAAGCTAAGAACTGGTTCAGTGTCAATGGGTTTTTTATGAATCCTGAAAAGACTCAAACTATTGTTTTTAGGTTAGGTCGCACACCTGAGGAAGAAAAGAATTTTTCGTCAAGTGTAAATTTATTAGGCATAGATTTGGATAGTGATTTAAGCTGGTCAACCCATTTATATAACTTAAGTAAGAAATTGTCAAGAGTTTTATTTTTAATTAGACGTCTAAGAGATTTTGTTCCTCCTTTGTATGTTAGATCTGCGTATTTTGCTTTTTTTCAAAGTCTGTTAAAGTATGGTCTGTTACTGTGGGGTAACTCCACCCACATTCTAATAATTTTAAAGCTTCAAAAAAAGGCTGTAAAAGACTGTTGACCAATTCAGGGTTGAGGGACCATTGTAAACCTCTTTTTAAAGCAACAGGTATCCTGACAACTGTAAATTTGTATATATTAGAGTGTGTTATTTTTGTAAAACAAAATTCACATTTCTTTAGCTCAAGAAATAATTTTCACTCATATTACACAAGGGGAAGATCTGCTTTGGATAGGCCCTACACCAGACTAACAACAGTACAGCAAAGTTTTGCTAGTATATCAGTAAAAATAGTAAATTGTTTTGCAAGTGAAATACTTGACATTCCTTGTACTCGGCTAAAACAAAAGTTGATGGTTTGGCTTGCTGACCACCCTTTTTACAGTTTAGATGAATTTTTTGCAGAATACAATTGTAATGGTAAAATTGTTATCTAGTTCTTACTTAGTCCCTAGTCAACTGTTACCTAGTCTTTCAAACACTGGTTTAAGTACCTCACTTTTGTTTCATATATATAGTTCTGTGTTTTTCAAATGATTTTAGCTTTATTTTCTTGTTGTCTTTGTTATATTTAAGTTTAGTGAAGATTCCATGTTATAGACCATGTTATACTATCTAGAATCTATGGCCCTTTTTTTGTTAACGAGGTCTATTGTAACATATGTTATTTAATGACCAATAAAGATTTATGATTTATGATTTAAATTAAATAACACAGTTAAATCAAATATTTTCCTCTTCTTTTGGGCTAGTGCTAGTAGTTTTTGTTGTCTCTGTCTTCTCTCTTCTGTCTGTCGGTGTTGGTTGGTTTGGTTTTTTTTTACAATCTGTTTTACACTAAACAATAAGTAAATACGATGAAATTTTTATAAATAAAATAAAAATTGGAAAACATGAGTTAGCAGCTAAACTTGTTTGTTTACTTTTTGGTTGGTTGGTTGGCGCTCGACCGCTCGCTTCGCTATGGAAGCCAATCGATTTACGATATTCGATAGTAGTTGTTTTCATACTACGACGGCCTACCATATCGTTGTGAACCCAGCGCTATCCTTGTGGATTAAAAGTTATCGGTTAAAGATGCATCTAGCGGAGACTAGGTGAACTGTCGCGAGACTCGACGGTATAGCGACATCTAGCGGTGATTGACCGAACTAGTCTCAAAACTCTTCGCCGTAAAAATAGTTTACATAGACTATTTGATTTCGAACTGCACCACTTATCTCGACATAGTCTGATTTTATTAACTCAGGTTGTGAACACATATGCCCCTGGGAAGATATAAAAGTGGCGTCGATGCACCTATGAATCATGAAAATATTGTATGTAGACCTTTTTGGTTGTATGATTTTAAGATACGCTTACCCATAAGTGTAATAACTTTTTTTAATATTTTATTGGATTTGGATGTCAAATTGTTCAATAGGGATTTTATGTCTTAACTAGCTGAACCCGGCAGACGTTGTCTTGCCTTTGACTATTTATTGAGCGAAGCTCTTATACGTCGACTTTTATGCATTTCGTAATACGCAAACTCCTCCTAGACGGCTGAATCAATCGTTTTCAAATTTTGGATAGTGATAAATACCATATCGGTGAGTGCCAACATCTATATGGCGTTAAAAATAACTCTCAGGAATCCGCCCCACTGGGTCTCAAAGTTTCAATGTAATCCTTATGAAAGCAGTATTTGACACATAAACAAAGACATATGATCAGCTGTTGACTTTTGAATGCAGCAGATGAAGAAATAGCTGATAGCATTATTCCACAGATATTAGAACAGAAACGGTATGAATCATAAATATAATCAAATGACGACACTAGCTTGAGGTCCGTGACGTAGGAAGCGCTAAAGGAAGTACTAAAGGTGAGCAGTCTGGAGTGTGGAAACTGTTTATGACGATTAGATTTAGGTATCTGCATTCTAAAAATTATAAGGGAAGGGAGAAAAACGGGTCCGCGACTTAGGAAGTGGTGAAGAGATTAGTCAAGGCGAGCTGTCCAGAGTGTGGGAACTGTTTTTTACGATTAGATTAAGGTATCTGCAATCCTAAAATGCCATTGGAAGGGGAGGAAACAGGTCCGCGACGTAGGAAGTGATGAAGGAAGTAGTAAAGGCAAGCTGTTCGGAGTGTGGGATCTGTTTATAACTATTAGATTAAGGTATTTGCAATCCTATAATACCAAGGGAAGGGAGGGAAACGGGTCCGCGACGTAGGAAGTGGTGAAGGAAGTAGTAAAGGCGAGCAGTCCGGAGTGTGGGAACCGTTTATGACGATTAGATTTAGGTATCTGCATTTTAAAAATTATAAGGGAAGGGAGAAAAACGGGTCCGCGACGTAGAAAGTGATTAAGGAAGTAGTAGAGGCAAGCAGTCGGGAGTGTAGGAACTGTTTATGACCATTAGATTAAGGCATTTGCAATCCTATCATGCTATGGGAAGTGAGGGAAACAGGTCCACTACGTAGGAAGTGGCGAAGGAAGTAGTAAAGGCGAGCAGTCCGGAGTGTTGGAACTGTTTATGACGATTATATTAAGGTATCTGCAATCATAAAATGCTATGGGAAGGGAGGGAAACAGGTCCGTTACGTAGGAAGTGGTG